GCTCTGCGTGTATCTTTTCCAGTATATATAAAACCATTTAGCAAATAATGTGTCTTAGAATCTACTAAACACTGCATTTTCAGACCGTATTTGTCTGGCTTATTTTTGAGATACATCCTGAATTGGCACCTTCCTCTAAATGCAATAAGCATTTCATCTATTGTGAGATATTCACCACAGCTATATTTGGACTGGCAATTAATTATAAACATATTAAAAATATTGGATATATCTGCCAGTTTATCTCCGTGCGCAATACGTTCTTGTCTAGTAGCTGGGTCGTCAAAACAAAGACTTCCAAGCAAAAAATAAAATCGTTTAGTAACATGGTTGCTCGAAATATATCACGGCCAGTACCATTCGTAGCAAATAAAGACCTTAAATCTTCATTATTGGATTTAAATACCCCAGCTAAATATAATAAGCCTAAGAAGGCCTTTAATTCAATTATGTCAAGATGATTGGTATATTGACACGATAAATTGTGTAAATTATATTTAGAAGCCATATTAGTTATTTGTTCATTAGTTTTTTCAAGAATTTCTTGCAATATATCGTGGCTAATAATACATTCCCAAGCATCAACTGGTTTCTCTGGCATACTAGCTCGAGCTTTTCCAATAACACCAGGTAAATGACTAATTAAATTATGCTTACGTGTACGAGAAAAGGCAAGAGAAGTTTTAAGACCACTTGTACCTATTTTTGCCATAAAACACATCCCTTGAGTCAGCTATATCACTTTCTTCACCCGAATATTCACTACCAGTTTCGAAATTATTAATTTGCCAATTTTTTTCGTCATAGTCCATTGTTCATAATTTTTTGTCCCTCCTCTTCAAGTTCTTTCTGTGTCAGAGGACGTTTATTGCGACTACACCCCGCCATTTCAAATTACTCGTTAATTGCACTAGAAACGCTTATACCATAAGCGGGTCAAAATTGACCCTATGCGTGCCTAACTCTGCAGTAGTAACAGATAAAGTAACGGAATTTTCGTAGATCGATAAATCACCTACCGGTCGAAGCGCGCAATGCTTAATCTATGTTTCAGTAGCGAAACTTGGCATTAAAAACGCAGGGGGTCAATTTTGACCCCGCCATGGTACTTAAGGGTTAACATCATTTAGGGTACTGTAAAAACAGGAATAAAGCGGAGATGCGCTGTCCTGAGTTTTCACATACGGTTAGGAAACCATGTTGGGGTTCAATTACCCAGGACCTCCACATGAAGAGCACTTGGCTGATTGTTGTGCCTCTATAGCGAATCAGATTGCTATAGGGGGAAAGGGATGGTCTAGAGCATTGGAGCACGGTGGGGTGATTCCTGTTTTTTAAACACGAATTAAAACACCTTGCTCCAATGAATTGTTACACCCGATCGTACTACCTGGGTGAACATGTCTCATAGGCTGGGTTCAATCAAATTGCTTGGGTACTGTAAAATCAACAATGGAGAGTATTTTGAACACTTGATTAGGCAGACAATTATTTTAGCAATGTAGTAAACTTTTTATTATTATGTTCAAATTTAGTTGTACATACTTTGAATAAAAAAAATTAATGAGACGATTAGGCGTTTCTAGGGTTATGTTTTATCTTTTTAAGATGTTTCTGACTATATAAAATCAAAAGTATTTCACACGGTTGTGGTATGTAGCTTATGTGTCGCAGCCATTCTGTTGGTGTAAACTGGATCGTTCTAGTTATTAGACGCATGGTAGTCAACTAGGTATCTATAATATTTATGTGAGCGCTATTTAGTCAGACAGTGGTAGACTATTCAGCGTAGAGTATACAAGACCAAAAGTTAGGCCTCGCAGTGTAGCTGTTGATGATTCCCATGTATCGCCACAGAACTTCTGTTACGATAGGTTATTACAGATTAATAAATTTAATAAAAATCCTTTGTAAAAGGTATATATTAAGAACCCAAACGGGCTAAGTTAAAAAGACAAAACGTTTTCGGAATCCATATTCCATCATCAGTGTCTAAGAGTACATGAATGTAGCCACTAAATATATGGGTAAAAACCCGTTAACAAATAATTAATTACATTTAGTTTACAAATTTTCCTATAATGGTTTAAGATGTTAAAGTTACCGTTGGATTAGGTAACATGGCGACATATGACTCCACTTTGAAGTTGCTAGTCTTGAGACAGTGTGTCTACGAAGACTGTATGGGAGCAACTTTACTTTGGTAAGTTGAAATGTTCAAAAATCGTTTTTATTGTAAATAAATAATGTTAAACATTTTAAAATTATTTTTGATTCTAATCATACAAAATTATGTCAAAAATAAATTCAACTAATTAAAGTTTAAATCTGATGGTATACGGTAGAGATATTGTACATATATTATAACTGTGCGTATGGGAAAATAAAACTGTTTCTAGTATTTTCCTTATAATTTCGTCATATTTTTTAACACATTTGTCCTTCCTAGGACTTCAACACCAAAATAAGCCAAAACGATTTAGTTGTTGTCGATTTATTATAAAAAAAGTTATAAAAACAAAATAAACTTTTGTTAAACGTGATTTTATATTTTATATGTAGTTATGAAATATCATAAAATGACGTTTAACAAATGGATCAAATGAACTAGAATTGAACAGATGATGAATTTTGAATTTACAAAAAAAATTAAGGGTCATTCATCGAGATAAAAAATATTCTATCTCCTAAGTTGGACCAACAAATACACTTTCACAAAATTTTATTGCAATCGGTTGGTTTTGAATATTAGTTTAGACAAATATCGTGATACGAGAATTTATATATAAAAATATATAACGAGTTTATAGCTGTTGCTGTTTCTCGCATCCTATTTATTGACTATAATACAGCATTTGATAAAGTACGACATAAACAATTAATGAATGTCCTGAAATCAAAGAAGATTGACTACACCGACCTCAGGATCATACAAAATTTATACTATAAACAGAGAGCAAAAGTACGTGTTAATGAACAGCCGTCAGAAGAAATTGAAATTAGACGTGGAGTAAGACATAGATAAATATGTACTGTCGCCAATTCTTTTTAATGCCTACCCCGAAGAGATCATGAAAAACGATCTTGAGAGTGAAACAGCAGGAATAAAGGTAAATGGAGTTTCCATTAACAACATTAGATATGCAGACGACACTGTGATCTTAGCAGAAAATATTGAAGATCTTTAGAGACTGGTGACCAGAATAGCGAAGAATGGAAAAGAGTGTGGTCTAACAATAAATGTCAAGAAGACAAAATTTATGAGAATATCGAAAACTCAAAGAAATAACGAGAATCTTCTAATAAAAGAACCAATGTCAAACAAGTGGACAAATATGCATGTCTGGAAACAATAATTAACTCCAAAAATGATTACATTCAGGAGATTAAAATCAGAATAGAAAAGGCTAGAGAAAATTTCAACAAAATGAGAAGAGTGTTATATACAAGGGATTTAAAATTGGAATTGGAACTAAGAGTTACGTTGGCGAGGTGCTATGTTTTTTCGACTTTATTTTATTGAATGGAATCTTGGACTTTAAATGCGACATCAATGAAAAAACTGGAATCATTCGAGCTGAGGGGTATAGAAGAATTCTGAAAATATCGTGGACAGAACACGTCACAAATAAAGAGGTTCTGGGAAGGATGAATAAAGAAATAGAAATTTTAAATACAATTAAAACGAGAAAATTGGAATACCTTGGACATATTACACTTGGAGAGAAATACACCTTGCTCCAATTGATTATGCAGGGAAAGATCCATGGAAAGAGAAGCATAGAGAGACGTAGAATGGCATGGCTGCGCAACCTGAGATAGTGGTACGGATGTACATCAAATGAACTTTTCAGAGCAGCCGTCTCAAAAGTCCGAATAACTATGATGATAGCCGACCTCCGCAGCGGAGATGGCACTTGTCTCTGCACTACCGGTTCAGCCCGACTTAAATATCGGCCGATAAAAAGTCTGCAGTGTGCAGGGGCCTTTACTTATTCGAGATGCATATCGTATTGCTACCTGATAATGGCATTAACGTCAGTCATTGAGCCGCCTGATGTTTAGTGTTTTACAGTTAAATAATAATTCGTTCACCATTATCTAAAACTTTTGCATTTAAAGATTTTTTAAGAAACATGTTTGTTCGCTTAATAAACTTATAGAAAAAAAAATAATTTTTTAACTCATTTATTTCGTCAAAAAAAAAGTTTCAGTTTTGCATCTACATCATTTGTATTTTAATAGTCTGTCTCGTTACGTTACCTTTTTTGCGCGGTAGTGTTCCCTAAGGATTGAATATCTCCAGTCGCATCGATCCTGACGTTGCGACGTTGCCGGCTCGAGGCGCATTCCGCGACAGCCGCCGAATCGGCAACGCCGACCACAAACATTGATTCTTTCCATTATAAATAGTACGCAAAAAATGCGTTCCTATATATCATCTCCCCCAGACATGCTTTGTGGCCCGGAAATTTCATTTTATAACTTTTATAACGGGTCTGCTTAATAATTTCATTTCCCATACACAATCACATACACTCTCACACTCGTGTCCATATATTGTGGAAAAATGCCGTGTTTTTTGGTTTGCACTCTTTGGTGGGAGAGCGTTAATTAAATTTTTTGGATGTTTGAGCAGAAAGACCTTTTGGTCGGAAATGAGTTTGGGACAAATCCTCAAAATTGAATTTTCTGCTGCAACTATTTTTCATCTGATGGATTTCGAATTCTGACATCTCGAATCCGTATTATTTCAGACTCTAAATACCTCTATATACAAAGCCTTGCTAAATTGAAATATCGATTTTTGGAATAACTGTACCGACCGATATTCACGCAAACGAAAATTAGACTAGACAAAAAGCACACAGATCCAAAATAAAAACCGTGAAAATGAAACGTTTGCCAAATTCAAAAGTAAACATAATCGAGTGAAAAAAAAACGAACAAAATCAACAAAAAACCAAATACATAAAATATTAGACATTAAACATTTAAAGAAATTATTAACCACACAACTACTCAAACAGCAATAAAAACAAATTAATAGGCATGCCTGTCACCAAAGCTTCGATTCGTAACTATTTTCAAAATTTAAAAGCCATAAATGTTATCCAATTAATAAAAACATTAACACGTACTTCAAATGGACGAATCCACAGATGTGTACCCAATTCATTACGTTTGTAAGATATGATACAAATAATGACATTCAAGAAGATGTTTTATTTTGTTTCCCATTGGAGACCAATACCACTGGAAAATGTTTACTCGACACTTTTATGAAACGTACAAGTAAATATGATATTGACTGGGGTAAATGTATTGCTACATGCACACATGGCGCTAAAGCTATGACAGGACGTAAATCTGGTCTTGTCGTCAAATTACAAGAAATAATGCCTAATGCCAAATCGAGACATTGTTTTTTACATCGAGAAGCTCTTGCGTCCAAAGCTTTACCTCCTGAAATGGACTGTGTTATGAAAACCATCACTAAAGTTGTAAATTCCATTAAAGAAAAAGCTTTGCAGACCCGTATTTTCAGAAAAATTTGCGAAGACATGGGTGCTTTATTTGAAAATCTCTATCACACCGAAGTAAGGTGGCTTTCAAGGGGCAACGTCTTAAAAAGAGTATTTCACTTAATAGCAGAGCTTTTAATGTATTTCAAAGATGAGAAGTCCCCATATGAAAATCAATCCGATCCTATTTAGCTTCTGAAACTAGGTTTCCTTGCTGATATTTTTGAGCAATTAAATATTTTGAACAGTAATTTACAAGGTCGCAACATTAATATAATTACAGCCACAGATAAAATTAAGGCGTTTCTAAGAAAAATCGATTTATGATCGACCTCACTTGGCAAAAAACAACTCGTTTCATTGCAGTTCCTTCAGGAAATTATGCAAAATGTATCCAATTACAGTGCTACAAATTTTGAACAAGCTTTTGCTGACATGCATGTTACTTTGCTCAATTTAAAACAACAGCTCTGTGATTATTTCCCCGAAGAAATTCAAAACAGTTACGACAGTTGCAGATGGATACTAAATCCGTTTTTAGCCGATTCCTTTCAGCATTTTGAAATACCAATAAACATGAAAGAAAAACTTATTGAAATATCAAGTGATGGAATGTTGAAGTTCCAATTTTTTCCCCAGAACTTGGACCAATTTTGGGCCGAAAAGATGCAGGAACACCCCCAGTTGGCAAGTGAAGCTGTAAAATGTTTGGTTCCATTTGTAACATCATATTTGTGTAAGTTAAGTTTCTCGTCTATGACTGCCATTAAAACAAGAGTTAGAAATCGTCTCGTACTTGAAAATGATATAATTGTGTGTGTCTCAAATACACAGCCTAGATTTGAAAGATTAGTTTCTCAGAAACAGGCGCATAGCTCTCATTAAGATTATAATATTTGATATTGTTTTACTCTTTTATTTTTACTTACTTTAATATTTAGTTTTATATTTCGTCTGATAATTAATTGTTAATTTCTATTTACGGCGTTGTTAAAATAAAAATACATGATCTAATAAAGTGGTTTTTTTGTCTTATTTTGGAAATGTTCGGCGGCCCCCCTAGTACCTCATGGCGACCCCCCAGGGGGTCGCGACTCCCACTTTGGGAAACACTGATTTAGTGTATATAATAATTAAGTTTACTATGTATTGATATTTATTATATTGTATAATTAATTAAATATTTGGTCTGAATTTGACAGGTTTGTCATAAGTAATCAATGCGTGCTTTGCTAATACGTTAACAGGTGATGGAACATTACTTTTTTCAACAACAAAGACCAAGAGATTATAGAAGAACTGATAAATAAAAACATAGACATTTGTACAATCCAAGAAACCAAGAAGAAAGGTAAAGGCCAAAAAGATTATAACCAATATTTTCTAGCATACATTGGAGTGAAGAAAGAAGAGCAGGCGTAGGTATACTTGTCCATAAAAAATTTAAGGACAACCTGAATAACTGCCGTTATATCTCCGAAAGAATAGTACATATGGAGGAACCAGAAGCACCCTACGAACAATTGTAAACCATATTGAATAAAATACTTCATGAAGAACCCTTAATTCTTATGGGTGACTTCAATACACGAATCAGAAATAAAATGGTTCCAGGAGTAAAACAAAGATTTAATGAAAACCATATCAACGCAAATAGAGAACTCATGGCTAATATCTGCCATCATCAACATTTGACTCGACAACTCTTTGTGAGTCTTGGCCGTGTTTACTATTTCCCTCCATTATTGTCGGTCCTGAGCAGCTATTTCCTATTGCTGTATTCCCATTTTGCGTAAATCACTGGCTACTGCGTCCTTCCATCTCTTTCTTGGGCGACCAACTGGCCTGCTGCCATCGGGATTTTCTCAGAATGTGGCGTTCAGGAGTCTTTCGTCATTCGATCTTAGTACGTGATCCGCCCATCTTATTTGGTTTGCTTTAATGTAGCGTACTATATTTTTGTCTTCTCTGGAGTTTATCATTTTATCTTCTTATTCATTCTCCTGTTGTCTCTTCTCTGCAAGGCCCATAGATAGTCATTTTGTCGTTTCCCGATAGTTCAGAGTCCATGTCACGCTCCCATACGTTAGTGTGAGACGAATTATTGTCTTATACACTCTTATTTTTGCTGGTATTGAGAGTATTTTTGATTTAAGTACGGTCATTAATCAGGAATATGCCCTATTTCCTGCAATGATCCTGGCTGCCACGTCCTTTTCATATTTATTTTCAGATGTTATGATCGCTCCCAGGTACTTGAATTTTTTGACGACTTCAAAGTTGTATTCATTGATTGTTACGTTTTGTCTAACCCTTGGCCTTGGGTTCTTCGTTACCACCATGTACTTGGTCTTGTCCTCGTTGACCTTCAGACCAGCTTTTTTTTCGTCTTTATAGAGGGGGGGTCTGGAATCTTCAAAAGACATCTCAGTCCAGGACGCCGACTGACTGACCTTAGTGCAGGATTCGTTCTTCGTACTCCCGGCGATAGTTCCCGAGGTACTTTAAAATGCCCTCTTGTCGCCGAGTCTACGCCGAACGCCTACCTGCTAAACCAGACCCTCCTCTGTCATCTAGCGATCCGGAAGCGGAATGGCCGCTGTAAGGCCGGCATCACTTCCGAAGCACTACCTTTATTCATTCATTCTCCATTCATACACATCCACACTCCTAGTTCGGCATCATTCTCAGAAGGGCATTTCCTCCTTCCCCACAGTCAAACTCACGCATTCTAACTCAAAAAGTGTGACCCACTGTTCTAACTTCACCTTTCAGCATCATTCACTCTACCTTTGCCGTTGGTCTAGCTGTCTTTCTTCCTCTTCCTTTTTTTTGATCACTGCACGGATATAACTGTGTATGTTAATCCAACCTAATTTATTTTCAATCATTCTCTCAATCATTTCTCTCACTGTAACAAAATTCACACCTGTCTCTCTCTCCATTCTGTTCCTTTCCACTATCCATCTGCTGCAATCTAACATCGTATGTGTCACAGTGTCCGAGTATCCACAATATAGGCATTCATCTGTATCAGCCTTACCGATCCTATAAAGGTAGGCCCTAAAACACCCGTGTCCTGTGAGCACCTGCGTCAGGAAATAATCCAATCGCCTGTGGTCACAGTCCACCCAAACTCTTATGTTAGGGATCAGCATTTTCGTCCACTGTGCCACATCTTCCGTATTGTTCCATTCTTCTTGCCATCTTTCAACTGACCTTTCCCTTACCTGTCTTCTCTCAGCCACAGTAAGGTTTGGGCCTCTTCTCTCATAAAGCTCTTTTCTTTGCACCGCCAAAACATGCAACGGAACACATCCAGTGATGGTCCATAAGGCTGCCGCAGACACAGTCCTGTAGGCGCATGCCACTCGCAACAGACTTGTTCTGTCTACTCGTTTCATAAGACTCCTATAGGCCGTTTTATACCTTCAGACCAGCTGCCTTGGCTCCGTTTTCTAATAGGATGAAAACTTCTTCTGCATATCTGGTGGATTGGGCAATTGTTTCCACGTCATCCGAAAACGCCAATAGTATTTTTGATCCTTGGGCGGAAAGTCCGTTTGTCAGTTGTGGTTGAGCTTTTCTTACCGCATGTTCCAGTGCAAAATTAAATAGCGACAGGATCTCCTTGTCTAACCCCGGTATCAATGAGGAATTCCTCCGACGTGGTGCTGCCAATTCTGATCCGTGCGGAAGCGTTCTCTGTGCTCACCTGTGCTAATCGTACCAGCTTTTCAGGTACTCCCATTTCTACCATAGTCTCCCACAATACTTCTCTGCTAAGAGAATCGTAAGTTTGTTTAAAGTCCACAAAAAGTTGTTGTACGTCACGGTAGAATTCCCAGTTTTTTTCCAACACCTGGCGTAGGACGAATATCTGGTCTATGGTCGACTTACCCGCTCTGAGTCCGCTTTGGTGATCACCCATTTTTTTCTCTGCGTATGGAGTTAGTCTTCTAGTCAGTATTATGGATATAATTTTGTACGTTGTATTAATTAACGATATGCTTCTATAGTTTAGGCATATTTGTTTGTCTCCCTTCTTGTGGATAGGTACTATATGGATTTCATGCCAGTGTTTCGATATTTCTTTTGGAGCTTTTCTCCCCCTTTTTTAGTAGTTCCGCCTGTATGCTGTCTGGTCCTGGGACTTTATGTTTTTTTAGGGACGAAATTTTAGACTTTACTTCAGCTAGTGTGGGCCCTGGTATTTCAGGTTTGGCTAATTGATATTGTCTTTGTTGTCCTGTCGTTGTAGGTTTTTCTGTATTTAAGAGATGCTTAAAATACTTTCTCCATTGGCAGCTTATCTCCTCGTCGTCTGTGAGCAAAGTAAGGAAGAAAGAACAGAAAAGGAAGTACGACAACAATATCTTAATGACACAATCTGGAAGAATAAACACCTAAGACAAGACACAAAAACAAAAATCTACAAAGCAGCAATTAGACCTATATATACACGGCGGAGACAAGACCTGGCACATCTAAAACGGGACGACTACTAGAAACAACTGAGATGAAAATACTCCGACGAATATCAGGGAAAAGTCTGTTGGATAAGGAGAGAAGCGAAAACATAAGAAGAGCATGCAATATAGAAGACATAAATAGATGAATGACTAAATGAAGATAGGAGTGGAACACATTAATTGAATGGCAGAGGGTAGGATAGTACGAATAGCACGAGATAAGTCACCAAATGGACGAAGAAGTATGGGCAGACCAAAAAAAGATGGCGCGATAATTGAAACAATTTAGTAGGCTAATATTAAAAAAGAAACAGGCTATAAAGCCTACATACAAGAAGAAAGAAGAAGAAGATTATCACTACGAATAAAGGAAATTTTTTTGCAGGTTCCAAAAAAGAAATATATTGATTAATAACTGTTTGGGAAAGTATGTGCGAATTTATTTCATTTTTTTACAGTTAATATTTTTTCTGTTACGGTACTGTAATGTGATCTAATTTAGTGCTGTATTTTAAAAGACCTTTTTGAAATATATTGTTTCCTGTTGTCTCATAAAACTTAAACTGGATATCTCATTTATGATGTGAATACGGAGAATTTGGCTTCTCTTTTGTATGGTTCAAAAACACACACAAGTGTAAAGTTTCGTGTTACCGTCACAATTAGTTAAAATTATCGGAAAGGTCGCAATACAATGGAATGATTTATTGGTACACCCTCTCGGACCACCGCTTAGAGGGTTCAATCTTAGCTCTG